AATGCACCATGAGCACTGCGGCCACGCATGCATCCGATTCCATCCAACCATCGATCCATTGATTCCATTCATACACATGTCACATAGAACACTCATCCTCTTAATGAACAGCAGAGCACCTTGAAAGAGCGAGAATGTAAGTGGCAATGGACTGAATACAGCCTGTGATGACCAGTCCAATCCTCGCGACATACCCACCGAGAATTTCCCTCCATCCCTGAGTGGATCGCAATCCAATCTCTGAAAGATCAAGGGCTAACTCTAAAGGAGAATGTGAAATTATGGTGAGAAAGGAAGACATGAGCCTGCTACCCTCCTCCTGTATTGCTTCTTCTTACTCCTCGCTTCCACTCGATGAGGGTGTGTCAGAGTACGAGCTGCCACCCTCATCATGGGCTGTCGTCATGCTGACTGATACTTGGATGTGGACAAAAGGGAAAATGGCCTTTAGCTCGTTGAACATACGGTGGTAATCTACAGTGCCACCACTCTCAAAAATCTCCAGCTCAACTCTCCTCAAATTGGTGCTGGATTTCAAAAAGGCACTGAGAACTGCAGCTAATTCCCTAGCCCACTCCTCTTCCTCCTTTCTCAGCTCCTCCTCACTGCAGTTTCCGGTCTCACATCCTTTACAGTGCATATCGTGTGGATGCAGTTGGAAATCGATCCTGTCCAAATTAGGGCAACTGTAAAAGATGTTTGTCCATACATCATTCACTGCGCGCTCAATGTGAGACTCTGCTATCTTTGAGGGATATGAGGTAGGTGTGGGCGTGCCTCTCTCCATATGTTTAGCAAGCAAACGCAGGAGCCCGGAGCGTAGCGTGAGTGACTTCAGTTTTTGAAGCCCCAAAGGCTTCGCAAAGCGTGCAGACCGGTCCTCCAAATTTTTGGTGATGGTGGTGGCAGGAGCTGAAGAAGCGGTATGGGGAGCTGTAATACTCCTACTGGACATGGGATCGGTGATGATGGCCTCAGACTCTGACGCGAAGGAGGCCGAGGAGAAGGATGACACAGTCGAAGAGAGAGGAGGAGCAGCAGGAGCAGGAGGCTTATGCTCGGTTGCAATGTGATTGGTGTTGTAGAAACAGTAGTCAGAAACACATGCCCTGATTTTGTATCTGTTGGTTGAGGGTCCATCTTGATCGCTGCCCCATTCCTTTCCTTCTTGCCGTTCTCGGATAAGATGTACCTCTTCCATAGAGAGCGGTGAGTTGGTAGGGTAAATCTCTTCGATATCCAAACATAACACTTCTAGACTGTGCAAGTGGTGTGCCAGAATTTGGCAGAGGGCCCCCTCAAAAACTATACAATCCCGTAGGCGAAGCGACACAATATTGTCTAATGGTACTGAAGCGAACAAATTATAGTATGTCCAAGAGCACCCCGCGTGGTAACGACACAGAGAAACGTCTCCAGACGGCACAGTGAGAGTGAGACACCCACCAGGCAAGAAGTGAAGTACCTTCAACTTAGGGCAGTGTACCTGCAAGACTGGAATCATGAATGCACCCGGCACAGAGGTGTGTAGGAAAAGGTTAGTTAAATTGGGACACATAATCGTTACAGGGAAAAAGACATCTCCTTGCCAATCGTTAACTGCAAGGCACTGCAGTAAGGGGCAGGAAATGGATGTGAAGTGTCTCTTCCCGCTCTCGATTTTCAGAGAGTGCAGGGAAGGAACAACTTTGATAAAGGCATCTAGCTCTTCTTGCTCAAATTCAATGTCCTTATCTACTTTTACCATCAGACAATGAAGATGAAGGGGGTGTGATTCTGTCCCGATATTAGGCAATGATCGAAGTCTTCCTCGATCACGCTTAACATCCAAAGACATTGCCTGCAGGACTTCATTGAATTTTTCCTTCAACTCTCCTTGTACTTCTTCTCTTTTTGCATCTTCTGCTGCTCCTCCCTTCTCCCACATCTCATCCTGTTCCTCCTTCTCTTGCTCCCCCAATTCCTCCGTCAACTCCTCCTTTGCCCCCTCCTCCTCCTCCTTGGCAGTACCACTTCCCCCTCCCAAAAACCTTCTCACACCAACCCAATCAACGAAAGACTTTGGTATTTGAGATGGTCTCCGCACCTGGAGACGTAGAGTCACCAATCGAGGACATGCATGAAGGAGTCGGTGAAGTACTTTGGCAAGAATGTGGAAAGATGGAGGTATTGGAAGACAAGCAGAAAGGGTTGTCAGATTCAGGAACAAGTCCGAAAAGCCCGCCATCTTCATGCCCTCAGCCCTAAGAGGGCATGACTCATCCAAAATAAGTGTTTCTAGTGACAGCGGAGTTCCTTGGTGTGTATGGGAGTTGCTCCCTTTCTCACTTGAACTTCCTCCCACAAGGTCCTCTCTTTGGCCCTTTTGTCCTCCTTGCGGATCATTCACGACGGGTGGCAACCACCACGGCTGGAGCTTCTCAACCTCCCATCCGCGTGCAAAGACGCTGTGCCCATTGCCGGTCTCTAAACGCAGACTGTGCAGAGTTTTGAAAGAAAGCAAGAAGCACCATAGGTTGGTGCCGTTTGTGGTCAACCTGCAGTTGGGGCAAGGACCTTCAACAGATATGAGAGAAAGGTGAGTAAGGGAGGGGAGGCGACTGCATATTTCGAGGTAGGTTTCTGCATGATCGCACAGGCACATCTTGACGCATGACAAGGTTAGATGTCTCAGACAGACAGAAGAGACYTGCACTGCCAGGGGAAATGACATGCGACAATGATCCTGGGATTCATCGTAGTAGTGATCCACCTCCAAACTCAGCAATTGTCTGCACCTATAGAAAATCTCCCAGAACTCACCCTCATTGCCCCCAAATCCTTCAAGACAGAGGTTTTTCAAAGATGGGCGAAGTAGACTTATCCATAGATGTCGCCTCGTATCGCCAGAGAATTTCTCGATTGGGAAGTTTGTGACAGAGAGTGACTCCAAGATCTTTGACCGCTGCACCACATTGCCAATCCATTGAGCCCTCACATCGTCGACCGGATCGTAGGACCACATTGTGTAGGGAAACTCCAAGGCTGACACATCGAGGACGAGGGATGAAAATCTTTTCGAAAGCACACTCATTCTCAGCAATTCCAGGGCGTTGCTGCCTCCAACCTCGCTTAGGATCTTTAACAGCAACCCGTCAGGCAGCCGTTCAAACGGCGGCGAATCCATCGTGGTAGTTACTGCAATGATAGAAAAGGGAGGAGATAATGATAATGAACTCACCTCGCAGCTCCAAAAGATGAATGGATGGTAAACACAACTTTCATTCGCCGATTCGCCGAACTCTATCAGGCGATGCTGAACTGGGACTCCGAGAGAAGAAGACAGCGATTAACAACCGATGCTGCAAAGTAAAATGCCGCAGCGGACTTCCCAACGAAGTGACAGGTAGGTGGCAGAGCGGAGCAGCTGTGGGATTGTAGTATTTCCGGCCCTTGAGGGTTAACAGCAGACCAAGCACAAACGACAAACCTCCTGCCACCGCAAGGTTACTGCCATCAGGACCGCGCACAAACCACAAACGTTTTGCAGTCAACAATTCCAAAAACGGAAAACTTCAAAAAAGGGCAACGTCCTTGAGGTATAATCATCTAACTGGCCAGTCTCGGGTAACTCAGAATTATAATATCATATTTTGCTTATCAAGTTCGGTCATGATCTCGATTCCAGCTCAGGTCTCTATGTGTGGCATACTGCGTAGCCACACGGGCCCTGCAGGGCCCGTCCCGGACATTCAGGCTGGAAATAGGCAGTTCAGGAGGCACCCGGTAGTACATAGGCAGTTCCCATGCACTTCCCGGGGTAGGTAGTTGGACAGTAGTCAGGTGGTAGTCTTCAGGATAGCGGAGCAGCACTCAGGAGGAGCGCTGCTCAGGGCAGCTTAGCGCTAGTGGTAGTCTTCAGCGCTGGGCGCCATAGCTGTAGTCTTCAGCGCTGGGCGCTATAGTAGTAGTAGTGATACAGGAGAGAGAGGCCTGGCGGAGGCCAGTGGTACTTACCTGTGGCGCCATCGCTCCAGCWCCATCTTCAAGGTACCTGCATCACAGCGCCACCTTCACAGGTTAGTACTGGACTGAGAGAGAGAGAGAGTTCTTCTTCTTCCTCTTCTAAGTCCACCATCTCTTCTTCCCCTCTCGCTGCCTACTTCTCAGTATCTGTGGACTACGAGAGAGAGATGTGACCTGAGACTTGACGACATTGGATACAGACTCGACATTTGGGATTC